CGGCGTCGTTCGTCGAAGGCGACGGCTTCTTTCCGTTCCGCGAATCGACGCGCGCCGACTACCTGTTGCTTCCAACATGGCGGCCGGCGCGCGGCGCGCGCGCGCAGCTCCTCCTCGCCTCTCTCTCTCTTTCCCGCGGTACGCGCCTTCGCTCCCTCTCCCTCGCTCTCGCGGCCGCGCTTGGCCCGCCGGTTACTCCGGATCGGCGATCGATGGCTCTACGAGGGGAGGATTTTATTCGGACGGTCGCCGGTGGAGAAACTGGAGCGTCGTTGCGTCACGAGCTCTCCCGGGTGAGACCTGTTGCTCGCGGGGCCCGCACCTACGCCGGGCGTCCTCTCTTTGTCTCGCTCCAGCTTGCCCGGCGTTGGGCGTCTCGCTCGCTCCCGCCGAGTTTGCCTACCTTTCTCTTTCTCCTCCGGCTCCGAGTCGAATTCTCTCCCTCCCGGCTTCCCGCGAGATATCCCGCGGCCTAGATCGATTGATTTTTCTTTCTTTCTTTTTTTTCTCTTTTTTTCCATCTCCGACTGGTTTTCACCAAATTTCTTCTGTACATTTTACCTCGCGCAATCTCGCCAGCGGTTACGCAACGAGACCTGTTTGGATAGGTGCCGGGAATTGCATTTGCTGGAATTTCGACGGTTCTGGGGGTTTTATGCTCGGTAGGACGCTCGCCGGGTCTGCGTAACGCGGTATCTTCCTCGTGACGTATGAAATTCGCCGCGATAAGCCTTTAATATTATCGCTTAGGCCGGGATCGAGTTACCGACCTCTGCGGAATGAACGTTCGGTCGATTTTAATGCCCACTGCTACACGCGGACGCGCGGTTTCCGCAAACGCGAGTTTTTGCGGCTCCACCTGCGGTGTTTCACTCCGCCGAGCGAGAAATTGATAACGAAGTTCTATTGGTACGTTTCATCGACGAGGAAACGTTATCTGCATCTCGAGAACAAGTTACGGTGTTTTTTCTTTTTTTTTTTAATTTTATATAATTATAGACAATACGGAAGACGCGGAAAGAAATGCGATGTGACGTTAAAAGGAAAAAAATGAACGAGAGTCGTCCCACACGGTTGCATAAGCACCCCGAGGATTGGCTTTCGGTCATATCTCGTCGCCGCATCTTGCCCGTAATTATTATGGTTGGTTAATTGCACGGCTGACTTTCCTACGTTAATTTTTCGTTTCCGCGCAAACGGGCGCTCGTCGCGCCGCCGAGTCGGGGTCTTAACGTCTTTCATCTGGGGATATCTAGGGGATCTAGGGATTTCTCTAGTGCCAAAGAACGTACCCGAGGCGACTTCCGCAGAGTCTAGATCGGAGGCTGCGCTCCTTAGATTTATCTCGATTTGCGGCCTGGTAAATGCTCCCGAGAGCGAGACGGCCGTACGGGGAAAGGACGCGAGAGCGAGCGAGAGGGAGACTTCGCATTCCCTTCTCGGGTTCCCCGAATCGATTGCGTCCCACGATTGCGAGGGCTCCTTTGTGTCCCGGCCGTCCCTGTTCCCGTAAATCCTGAACGGGGACTCGCGGGTTCGGATTTACAAAGATGGGCTAGACGAGTCCGAGAGGGATAGGTGAACTCTTTGGCTCCTAAGAGCGCCTAAAGGCGCTCGACGTTTGGTCCAATATTGCCTGCCCGGTCATACGAATTTCGCCCGTATGTCGAAATGGCTCCGCGATCAAAGGGTTAATACATCGGGGGAAAACCATCCCCGAGACATGCCGAGCGCGATACGAGTCTCGAGATAAAAAAAGCTCGGCAGAGTTTCGCGCCAAATGCATGCTAGATATTGCGTACGCATTTGTGAGCGATCGCCGATCCACCGTATGGTGGATGTGAAATTTCAAATTTTTCAAATCTATCTATGCCATCTGGGCGATATATAATTGCGTTAAAGAATTAATCTGGGGCGTTGAAGTTTTCGAGGTAACCTATATACCAGGGTAATTGATGGAGAATAACGAGAAACCGCGGGAGAGCATATCCACCTTTCTTCGGTACTCCCAGTTCCCATCGCTGCCGGCATTTCGTGATTCCGGCGAGACTTTCTCTCGAGGCTCGGAGCCGTGACTTCCGTCCATCTCTCTCGGCGTCCCTCGGGGTTGCCACCGTCGCGATTCCGAGGGTTAGGAAAAATCACCAGAGGTATATATTCACCGTAGGCCGAGTAGAAATGACCGTAACCGCCGTAGATGAAAATCCCCGAACTGAAATCCAACATGGCGGACACGGCGGGATATTTGAAACGTTCTTTTTCCTTCTTGAATTTCTGCCATCGGGTGGGTCTGACCGACTAGTGTAATCGCAACTAAATCTGTATTTCTATACAGGGAGAATAATGGGAATTCATTGTCTCGCGGTCAGTTCTATAGGTGTAAGACCTGGGGAATTAAACGTAGATGTAGGAGTTGGAGGAGAGTGGTAAAATCGTTAAATAGATCTCCGACCGGAGCGCCGTGGCCGACCTGGTCTCTCTCTCCTTCCTCCGTCGTCGCAGCATCCTGGGGGAGGGTCAGGTGGAGCGGGCCCGGCGCTCGACCAATCGGAACCGGGGATGGTACCTGCTTGCCCCGGACGACCAATCGGCGCGCGCAGACTGCATTTCCCCTCGCATTTTTTTTTTCTCTCCCAGTCCCCCGTGAGCGGGGCCGATCGTGGAAACCGCTCGATCCGGTTCGCCCCTCGTCGCTTGTCGGGAACTGGTTCGAGCTCTGCGCCTTTTCCTCGGGAAAAGTTCCCATTGCAACCTAACCGAGGGCCCGCGGGAAACGGTTCATACCCGGACAAAGAGACTACGATTCTTCCTCTCCCACTTTGGGAGAGGGACGATCCGCTTCTACGGCGATGCATCCCGACGTCGGATTTTCCAATTTAGTTTCCTTAAGATGATATGAACGGGTCATTATATATATAAAATTTAAATAAAAAAAAAGTATATATAGAAAATAATATAAAGCAACCTCAATATTTACAAAAACTTTTCGTAAAATTGGGTGCTCCGAATCGTTGGCCCTAAGGAAGAACGCGATGCTCATGGAAAATTGAAATTTCGCAAGAAAATGCGACTTTGCTTCTAGTCTAGGCTAAATACAGAAAAGAATTTTTTTTTTTTTTAAACGTGAAATTTCACGAGTAGCGCGCTCTTCCATAGGGCTTCTGTAGAAACGGGTTAATGTTCCTAATCACTCGGTGCATCCAGTTTGGAGATAAGTTTTACAGACGTTTGATTAGTTGGAGTAACGGATGCTCGGTATTAATATACGGAAAAATGTCTGGGAGTTGTTCGAGGAGGTTCCTCTCGACTTGGGCTCGCCTTGGCCAATTAAGCGTCAATTGAGCGAGCAGCGCCGATGGCAGCAACGGCTGCCCAATCTTTTGTATTCCCCTTCGCGCCCGCTTCTCTCGGTTTATTTATTTTCTCCCCCTTTCTCAGGACCGAGGGGACCCGATCCGATCGAAAGGGATCGATACCCTGAATTATAGTCCTCCCGCATCGGGGCGAGTTGACTGCAATTCCTCCTAATTGTTGGAAAAGCAAACCGTGGTTTCCCACGGCTCTCCTGCGCTCTTCGATCTTGGATTTCCGAGGCGCGCGCTTCGAAGTCCTCTTCCAAGGGATCCATGGGGTTATGCCTCGGGGATTGATCGAAACGATGCGTAATAGATCGAGTGTCGAGAGTGTTGGGTTAACTCTCGTTAACCTTCCAGTTGAGGTGGCCTCGTAACGGCCGATTCCTCCGGAGGACTCTTCGCCAAGACATAGCCACCGAGTCGCGCGGTGTAAAATAAATTCCCGTGGCTCCATTCTCTACCTCCTGTATTTTATTAATCTAATGGGAAGTACCTAGGGTTATTTCCCGAGGATTTTACCCTGGAACGAGCCCGGGTTCGACGACCGTCTCCCTCGTTTTCGATTCACGTCCTCGAGTTTGCGCGGGTATATTTGAATTGCCAAGTAGGCTCGGCATTCGCTTTCTCTCCTTCGCGTGAGATGAATCGTCTCGAGGACTCGGGGCCGAGGGAGTTTATCCTGAAGTAAATCCCACTATCTCTGGCTCCTTTTTTACTACGGATTTAAGTAGCGCATATGTCGCGAGCACGTGGTGGAAGTTAGTCTGACAGCGGTCGAAGACTAGATACGTCGTTGAAAGGGTGCTTTCCAAATCGAACAAACAAAAATTAAATACCCTCTAATGTGTTACACGAGTTATTTAAAATAATTCCAATTGTATGATCGAGTTTCGGTGATCGGTTGATTTCCAATTTCAATTTCTAGTATTACGTGGTAGGGCGAATTTGGGCGTCACAGAGCACGTGCGCCGCGAGCACGTGGCACGTTTGACAGCTGTCAGCGTCGATGCTCGGGCGCATCCGTAACGCCGTTAACGCATCGCCAAGCCAAGGAGGGAAGATCGGAGGCAGTTGGAGGAAACCGCGTCCCGGATGTGCCGAGTGAGTGCTGGTCTAGTGCGCAGTCGTTAAACTTGTGACTAGATCCACACTCATTAAGCACGTTCGGGCGGTAATCGCCGCACCGTCGTTCGCGTTACCTTCGAAGAAGTCTTTGTGCTCGGCTGGGGAATGTCCTCGCAGAGGCGAGCAATCTCTGCGAACGCGTGCTTTATACCCGGTTAACGTTTCCCAGGCCGGTGAGTCAGGTGGGAGGAATTCCTCCCACCTGGGGGGAGGGAGGAAAGGACAAACAGGATACCTGGGACCTGGGAGCGATCTCCAGACCGAGACCACGCAATGAGGCAATTCCATAGACGAGTATGAATTTGGTGCACGTTTCATGGGAAAGGTCGTGACTAGATACACACTCGTCTACGGCACTCGGTTTTGGATGCTTCGGCGGAGAGGTGTGCTGGGACGCGGAAATTGTTTCGCTTCGTGGTCGGTGCTCGTACTTGCAGATTTAAGAGGATAGGAAATCTCGGATTTGGCGTTTAGAACGGGAGAGGACTGATTTGTTATGTCGTTTTTGGTTTCACGCAGGCCAAGAGGCTGAGGAGTCCGGAGTCGGAGCAAGGAGAACAGGACAGCAAAGTGCGAGCCATCGGGGAGACCCTCTCGCCGTCGACCTATACTTTGAAGACGTGAGTGAAATGCTGGTTTAATAGCTGGTTCGTTGAATTCTCGATAGTCCCCTGGGGATATATCAGTTTTGGAGTATGATCGGTCCTTATGAGGACGATTCCTTGCATCTTATTAAGGGACCTTTTTATCATTACGCATTTGTCCGTTGCAGAGGCACACCTAGTCGAAGACCGGTCAGGGTTGGGACCAGGATTCTGGTGTCCATCGGGCAGGAAGTAACGTCCTGGAAATGTGGGAGTGCACAGAAGGTCGAGGTCCAGAAAACCGAGGATCCTCACGTCCCGAGCAACTCTATGTACATGTTCGAGTTGATAACGAGGAAGGGAGAGATACTGACTCGCGTGTGCTGGGACGTAGGGCAACGATTGTGCGGACATTGGCAGAAATTGAAGGGGGATGATATGCAGAGCACTTGGAACGTGACCCTCAAGTCGCAGATGGCGTTTAGAACCTGGGGCCGAATCTGCTGCGAGCGGGAGGGGAAATTGAACGTCGCCTCGATCTTACTCGAAGGGGCGAAATCACCGAATACGGTTAAAGGCATTCCCATCATAAAGCTGGACCTTTCCAGCATTCCGCAGTACTCCGTTTTTCGGGGTCAGGTCGTCGCGGTGGAGGGCTGCAATCCGACCGGAAATGTCTTGGTCGCGAAGGAGATGTTCGTGGAAAGTTTTGCACCCTTTCCGAAGAGTCCGTACTTGAAGGAGAACGTCACAATATTTGTCGCGGCTGGACCGTTTACTATGTCGGGCGATTTGGACTATCAACCCTTGACCGATCTACTACAGTCCGTTATGGAAAACGAGCCGAATGTCCTGATTCTCGTTGGTCCTTTCGTGGACTTCAGTCATCCAGAGATTCGGTCTCCGTCTATAACGCTCACGTTCCAGGAGTTCTTCGAAAAGATTGTCGGAAGAATCATGGACGCCGTTAAAGGGTACTTCGTCTCTTTTAGTTTTCTCCTTAAAGAAATATATATCCTTGGTATAATTTTTTTTTTGTGCCGTTAGTTTGTGCACGCAAGTTGTCCTGATCCCTTCGCATCGGGATGCTCACCACCATCCAGTCTATCCAACGCCGGAGTTCGCACTTTTCGGCCCACGGTATCCGAATTTGCATTTAATGCCGGATCCTTCCATGTTGAATATCGAAGGTCTGATCATGGGAGTTACGGCCGTCGACGTTTTCATGCATCTAGGCCGAGAAGAATTCAGCGCGTAAGTGGATTAATTATCGGTATGGTGTACCAAGTTCTTCCTATAGGGATCGAATTAACCATTTAAACGAATCTATTCCAGGAATGCATCGGGGATTAATAAACTAAATCGGCTGGCCACCCACATACTGGATCAAAAATGCTTTTATCCATTAAACCCTCCCGCCTTGGAAGTAAATCTAGACACGCATCTGTGGGAAAAATACGCCTTCATGTATCAGCAGCCGCATATTTTGATATTGCCGTCTGATATGCGATACTTTTGCAAATGTTTGAACAATTCCGTTGTTATCAATCCGGAACGTTTGTGCAAACATACCTACGCAAGGCTGAATGTTAGACCAGTCTCTGGGGGCGCTTGGACCACCGATAATGTTTCCTGCGAGATAATCAAAATTTAAAACTCCGGAAGGCTTGCCTGCACCACCTGATGTTCTGCATCCCCAAAGACTGCCTTCTTCGGCCAAAAGGTGTGACCACCGAAATCTTACACTTGTATATTTTTGTACGATAGTAATATTTAACAATAAAATGAAATATCGTCTCGTAAGGCACTAGGGAGTTCATCGATTCAGTTCACGGTATTGGTATCATTTATGACTAGTAACTTTGGAGGATTGAAGGGAAGGTTCTGAATTTAATTTTGAGGAAGAATAAAGAAACTTTATACCAATATCATCAATTTTACTGATACTGCAATCTGGTTAGCAGGAGTTAATTCGGGAGAAGCGGTAAGAGTTGCGGGAGTATCAACACAGGCGGCAGCACCGTCAAGAAAGTACCGACCCGCACTCGCCGGTGCGTAGTTCGCACGAGGGCCGCGAGATGGCGTTACTAGCGCAACATTCAACCCCGTGGAGTTTTCTGCTTCCAGTGGGTCGTGGTGGTCGGCCATTGCTCGAAATTGTGAAGTTTCCTCGTCAAGAAGTCGGTCCCAACGTGCCTTCGCGTCTCCGGGGTCCCGAGAATGCTAAGGTAAGTCCCTTGTCAATGCGTACGACTACCGAATCCCGTAATTAGAACACGAGGAAGCGTTGACACGCTCGAACATCGAGGCAGTGCCAGGTGGTCCGCCATCTTTGTTACCAATTCCGTGTATACATCGAGATCTCAGGTCGGACTTTGCGACGCTTTCCTCGGTAATTAAACGCGATACCGACGATTTATAGGCGAAGGCACAGTGCAGGCACGCGGATAGGCCAGATTCCTCGGATATTATCCCTCAATCGGTGACCAAGAATCTCCAAAGTCGGTGCGCCATGGCCGTCACGCAGATTTCACAACGTCGCTCTCGCGGCCTTGGATCATTCGGCCAGAAAGAGACGAGACCAAGTTACGAAACCGCGCGTGCGTCCGCTTTTCTTCGAGCGGCACGAAAAACAGCCCAGCACGCCCTGACATCGTGCAAAAATCGGACTCGTGCGTGTAAATTAACGGATCGACGGAGGAGCATCCGAACGTACACTCGTCTCGACTCCGTCGAGCTAGAATCGGCTTTGCGAAACCTTAGGTAGCTTCGGAGGGTTTTCTCCAATTTTCAATCCAATCCCGAATCTTGCACGCCTTCCGACTCACGGACAATCGTCCGAGAGATTTTCCTAGCGAAGGAAAAAAAAGAAAAAAAAAAATTGCACGTCGTTATATAACTCACGAGGCTCTTTACTCGCGAAATGTGTACCCGAAGACGATCGGATTTCGTAAGGAAGCGGATTGAGTGTACATACCGTACACCATTCACATCATTTTTAGCCTGCACTTAAAGTCTACCTGTAAAAATCCAATCAAATCGATTTAAATGTTAAATTCACTAGATGCAGTGGTATGATTTTATTAGAGTTTCACGCCCTAACCTGTAACCGCTGAAAATGAATTTCAATGGAAAGCGGGGTTATGTTTGAGGTTAGGGGGAAATATTTTAACAACCCGTCCGGTCGTAATCGGGAATTACAATCGAATTTATTTAAATGTTAAATACCCAAGATTCAGGGGGAGGATTTGATTAGAGTTCGGGGCAGAGAAAATATTCGGTGCGATTTTCGAGTTTCGTGGGTCTTTTCAGTATTTTTAAGAATGTTCTATACGGAGCACTTTGGCAGGAGCGAGGTTATGTCACTGCGGATCATGCGAGCCTTCTTGCCTCCACCGCAGTGGTTGATCATGTAATCGGGGTAACATTTAATGAAGAACGAAGTGGGACATTGTCGCCGTCATCTCTGGCCCGATTGGTGGAGGGAACTGGCGAAAGGTTGCGTCACGTGTGAGGCCGCCTTAAGGTGGAGTGAAACCCCCCCGCAAATCACTCGACTCGAATAAGACACTTTATTTTAAGGATATCGGACCTAGCCGGTCCGAAACTTCGACACACGACTCGTGATCACCTAAGAGTCGTCCTTACACTTCAATTCAACTTAATTGTACACCCTAATACAATTCCTCACAGCTGTTAATAGTAATACGAAGGTCGGTAACGTAGGCATTTATACGAATCCCTTTTACCGAGGTCGATAAAATTTCGCCTCACCTTAAAAGTGACTGGCTTCGCCGAATCGCTTTCTACCGCATGCTAATTAGGTCCCCGTCGGGGTGGGCATAAAAATCCAGATTCTCTTCTCATATTTCATCCCGCTAGGGCGTATTCATTTTTTTCTTTTTTTTTTATTTTTCTTCTCCAGCCTCGATCACATTATTTTACACGTTACGCTCGCGTTCGTTTGATCGATGAAGGCTCGCCTCCGAGGGTTCCAAATTATGATCCATCCATGTTTGGAAAGCTTGAAAGGTTTTTTCGCGCGATAAGGCGGTATCGGTTCACGTCATGCGAACGGTCTCGCTCTATTATGGGGAAATTTGTGCTCGCGCTCGTCCTGTCATGTGTCATTCTGTCGGCCACCCGCGCGCATGCGCACACCTGCGGCTCGCACGCCGGCATATCGAGAGCGCGAGAAAGCGAGAGTGGCATATCGATCCGGTTCGTTGTAGTCTGCCTACCTCAACCCTGACTGCTCACGGCCACGGCCACCAGGATTCTACTCTTTTGAGGAAGGTGCCGAAGGTTGCCGAAAAAAAAAGTGGAATCTAGTAAGAATCACGGATATCACGAAGTAGGATAAGGAGATACAACGCCACGTGTCGGAATCCCCACTTTAGAGAAAAAAAAAGAAAAAAAATCTTTGACGAGAATCATTTAGATTGCCGCGTGTAATCAATCTCTGGGAAGTAAATTTTCTCGCTTGTAAATGGAGGCATTATCGGTCGCTAATCAATCCTGGAAGTGCGGCACACGGGTATCTTGCGAGGCTTGGTACGCGATATTTAAGCAACAGGGTGGGAAAAAAAAAAAAAAAAAAATGTTAGGAAGAAATTATTGTTTATTCACTTTATGGTATTTCTATCGGAATAAAATGCTAGAATGGATTTCACAGTTGCGTAGGAGGTGAGAGTGCGGAATTGTATGGGGACTGAAAATATCGCCGATTGTCTCCTTCGGGTACGTCGCCTCCTCCATTTCTCTAATAATACTATATAAAAAAAAAAAAAGAAAAAAAAAATGTATCTCTCGATGCGGGATTTAACGTCGAACTCTCGGCCCCTTTTAGCACATCTTAGGTATATTTAGCCGAGAGGTCGTAACGTTTTCCTCGCGTCTGAAAAACCGGGGGGACCTCGAGGTCCGCACCACTGGGTGACGTAAAGATGCTTTTTATCCCTTCTGTTTGTCCGCCGAGGAGGCCGAAGAAAATCCGCATATCGCTCCCGATCCACGCTAGGTATCGCTTTTAACTGCCATCCCCGCGAGTGAGTTTTCAGTCACGTTGCGGCGGTTTACCATTACGGACGTCACTCCGACCGACTCGTGGCCGGTTCTGCAGGGATCTGCCCGCGCGGGGTAATGGATGCGAGTTAGCTGATACGGTCGCACGGTCAGGTCGGGAAACTATGGTGGAGGGCGTATTTTCCGTACACGATTTTCATGAAACTTCGGCTTATCGGAGCCGCGGCTTTCGGGTGAGGTCTGATAATCGGAGGAAGTTCATCCTCGCTCTCTGTCCCTCTCGCGCTCGCGTACGGAACGTTTTTCAAGGTTACGCTTGCCAGAGACACCCAGCGCTCGCGGCGGCAGCTTTAGGAACTAATAGTGCCGGCAGGAAGTAATCCACTCTATAATGAAAAATCGCAACGGAACGGCGCGTAACGGCGATTTAATTGATTTCAACCTAGCCGTTAATGAAATTAGTCGTTTTCAACGTTTCACACCGTACTCCCATAGTATATTTAGCGCGGGGAGAGATTCGCGACGGTCAAGGTCGGCGACCTTGAATTTCAAAGAAATCGAAAGGAAATTCGGAAACGGCGTTCGCACCACCTGGTGGCGCGTAGAACGGCTCCGATTACCCTGGGGGATGCTTTGTCGCGGCGTTCCTACCGAGTTCCTCGATTCGGGGAAAGGATGCGCGTGGGTGGCCGGTCTATTTTCGAAATCGAAAAATCTCCCGGGTCCTGGTCCCCCTCGGTCTCGTGACTGGGTGGGTCCCCCCGGTGCCGGCGCCACCCTCGGGAGTGACTCACGCGGCCCGGGTCGGCGGTCGCGTGGCTTTGTCGCGGGTGGCGGTGGGTGGCGGTGGGTGGCGCGGTCGTGGCGCGACCGCCAGGCGCTAGACGGTTTCGTTCCCGGCTTGAAATTTAATCCCGATGTTAGGTCCATTTCCCTTGACAAATAATTCACTAGTTTTCGACTTTAGTGGCGGGATTTTCAAAATTACGAAAAGGCAAGGCCGCACCTTATTTTCCATTAAAATTATTAAACTCGGATAAGCAACGGTACGATGGACACAATTGTACTTTCAGAATTGGACAACAACTGATGAAAGGAAATACTTAATATTAATATATACTATACAATATACTATATTATATACAGTAATAAATATCATCATTCCCTACGGCTGCAGGGGACACTTTCGGAGGGTGCGGGAACGTCCTGAGGGGATGCTTAGAGTGTCGGACCTAGTTCCAAAGTGCCAAATCTGCCACGCTTGCGCCAGCAGGAACCGTCCCGTGCCGTATCGTACCGTGCCGTACCGCACCGCACCGCGTCGAATCGCGGCTCACCGCGACGAGCCGATCCGCGTGCGTAACGATCCGCGGGAGGGAGCCTCGACGCGTCTACGCCGGTGGGCTGTTTTGGGCGGCCGTCGGCTGTGCGCAAAAACGGCGGCGGCAGTCAAGTTCAAGGCCACCGCCACCCCCTCCGCCCGTCTCCATCCTCCCCTCCCCTTCCCGCCCTGCCCCTCGTTCCACCGTTCCGCGCGACGACCAGCCAATGTACATCCACCGCGAGATATAGACGTACACATAACGCCAGGGGCGTACCTAAGGCCACCCCGTAAAGGTGTCTATGTATACGTATGTATGATTAGATGTAGATTATCAACTTATGTATTTATACATATGTATACATACGTGATTCGCGGTTAAATTTTTCTTCGGTAATTTTTTATGCATCTCGCACCATGCGCCATGCACCTCGAATCCCTCATTCACCTGATAAGCGTAACTGCTTTAGAGTGATAAGGGTCTCTTTGAATGCGTAGAGATGTCCCTTGAAAAATAAAAAAATGATGTATGACGTGGAAGAATATTGATGATTTATTTCATATTTATGAATGTAGAATTTGGAAGGGAATTAGTTAGGAGTGGCGCGATGATTGGGTGCTGTATTAAGTTTTGCGGCTCTGGGTGGAGGGGGACGGGACGTGCTTAACCTCGCCCTGATTCGATCTCGAGTGCAGATCTGATTACCCGAAATTGCGTCTCTTTTAGTCTCGCCGCTATCTCGAGCTCGAAAGAACGCGCCATTTTCGCGCTGTTCAATGGCGCGGAGTATTTATTCATTATTTATGACCTCTTCTGGTCGGGTTAGTGCACGGGGTTCCGTGTGAGGTATCTTACTCTGAGAAGAAACATGGCGAAGAAATTTTCTATCAGTTCGAAGGATGATTAGTTAACTCGAGCTCGCATAAATTGGACGCAACGTTTACACGGAATAATTGTTATAGAATTAATATAATATTTCTTTGCCATAATTTACCCTCGTTAGGTTTGAAAGATTTCCTCGTTTTTTGGATCAGTGCAAAGAGTCCGTGGAAAGGTTCCATTTAATCTATCGGCTAGTGGATATCGATTCATGCCCGATAATCGGTGATAACCGATCGATCGGTGATCGATCTGAAATTCGCAAATCTTTCGGGAGTTTTGACCCAGGGCAACGCGAGATCGTTTCAAGGTAATTCGGAGAAAGGTCGACGACCGATTCGTCGTGGCCGGTGGTGCAAAATAACAATTGCGTCATTTGCATTATCAGTGGCAGTGTTTGTCGTAAAGATTAGAGAGGGAGAGAGAGAGACGCCAGGCCCGAAAACGAGCGCCCGCCGATGCGGCGATAAGCGATAAGGATGCGAAAATGTCGTATCTGCATCGTACCTTCTGCGATAAAATTCGAGGTATGATCGATCGATCGGGAGAAATAAAAAAAGAATTCGCGTAGAAAAAAAAAAAAAAAAAGGCGATTGACTCACGCAGCCGATTAGCTTGCGGAAGAATGCGCATGTAAGTACGCGTAACGACATTTCCATTATTCCACTCATATGTACACACGACGTGACCTCGATTTTTTTTTACATCCGATCATTATGCAGATGGTTATCAATGCGAGTGTCGTGAATTATCGCGGCGACTTTTTGCGCGATGATTTTCAGACCGCGTCAATTTTAATTTTTTTTTTTCTCCGTTTCTTCTCCCTGGTAATCTCGGTGGTTCGTTACGAATTACCAGTGCCTGTTTTGCCGTAGTTGTAATCGTTAGTTGAAACTTTAAGGCCGGGAGTCGATTATTGTTCGCAAGACTCTCGGCGGGAATAACAATCTCCTTTTCGAGGAAGACTTAGCGTTCGTTGAACGTTTCCTCCTTCAGTTTTGACGCAACTTTGACAACAATTGACACCGGCGTTGCGTAAAAGATAACAATAACAACGACACTCTGTCGCTTCCTCATCTCGTGGATTTTTGCGAACGCTGATTAAGTATGCATATCCGAGGGAGTCGTAAGCCATGTTTGCATCGGTGGGAGCTTAAGCACGTCCAGGAGAGGACGAGTAGCAATATTGATTGGCAAATCGAAAGTTTATTACGTTACGGTGCGAGAATTTCCCTCATTTACCGTCCTGCTAGCAATATTGATCGGCACATTCAAGGCTCGTTACGTTCTATTGCCAGAATATTGCCATTTCTCTCGTTTAACGTACTAAAGGTAATATCGATTGGCTAATACAAAGCGCGTTAAGTTGCACGATAAGAACGGTTCGTTTTTTTTTTTTTATTTAGCGTATTAGTATATTTGCGCATATCAATGCGTGCATTATTTTCACACGCACCCGGGCTCGTTTTGGTGCAAGTGTAAATATACCAACAAATTCAAGACTCGTTAAGTTGCACGATAAGAACGGTTCGTTTTTTTTTTTTTTATTTAGCGTATTAGTATATTTGCGCATATCAATGCGTGCATTATTTTCGCACGCACCCGGTCTCGTTTATTGTGGAATCTTCGAATCAAACGACCGTCCGACAAACTGCAGCGGAAATACGACCTCGTGTATTTGCTTCGAGCGATCGCGGAACTCATCAACGGGGGCCTAAATATTTATGGAAGTTAACGCGACGCGGGACGAGGAAAAAAGAAAAAAAAGAAAAAATACGCAACGTCGGTCATCTTCTACGCGTTTAAGGGTTAACTTCGGCCGACACAAAGAGGCCTGGGTTTGTCGAAGGAGTCCGCGGCTCTCGAATTTTAAGAACGAATCCTGCCTTTTTCTCCCGGACATGAATGGGACGAGAAAGGACAGGGATGTCCTTGGGGACTGATTAAGATGCGAGACTGCTGAAATCGTATGCTCGGTACCGAGACGGGAAAAGGTCCTCGACATGCCGTTGAATGTTTTTTCCCCCCTTTCGCCTCCTCTCGAATTGAACTCCAAGTGTTGCATACGATTACTCGGGCCGGTCCCCGAATGTCTCGAGAAAAATCGAGATCTATCCAAGACCGTGGTGAAAATTGAACCGGTACTCCCGTGGGATAATCATCCCTCGTGGATCATACTTCGATTTTATTCTCACTCGTTACTCGCCGCGACTCAATTACCACTCGTGGATTTTTTTTTTATTTTAATGATTTATTTTTATAAATTAACATACGACATCGTGGATCATCATTCGGTTTTATTCTCACTCGTTACTCGCCGCGACTCAATTACCACTCGTGGATTTTTTTTTTATTTTAATGATTTATTTTTATAAATTAACATACGACTAATTAGACAAAGGGGAACACCCTAACGGAGCTTGTAATCGATGATTCCATGGTGTAAGTGTTACTTTTCAGGTTTTGGGCCATTTTCGCCACTTTAGCGAATGTCCTTCCTAGGCCGCTGTTTCTTTCCGCCGCGCCGGCAAAACCGTGAATCATCTTCGTCGGATGCTTTAGCAGCACTCCCGACTCGCAGACGACGAGGATGGATATTTATTAATTCCTCCATCGCGTCATCCGAGTCATAAATCAACATTAACGAGATTTGCATACCCAAGAGAAATAATAGACGTCGAGGCGTGCGGTGAATGCCGGCTTCGGGAGGCGGGGAAATTATTTTTCGCGAGGTCGTACCTATTTCTGCAATCAGGTGGAAAAATGGTATTCGATCTAACCGAGGTACGGCACGATGCGTGAAGTTGGGGTATTTTTTTTTACATATACTATGTACTCTATTTTATCGGCTGCCATATTTAATACTCTACTCTCATTATCCCGAATACATTGTTCTAGTAACGGGATATTACG